TGCCCAAGAGGTATAGGCATTTTAATATACACACACACACACACACACACACACACACGCCTTATGAAGAATGTCTTTTTTCCCATTGTGAAATTCCAAGGATCATCCTTCTCTCATCTGAGATTGTGATTCAGGCCTTCTGGGGCAGAAACTGCTCCTCAAGTAGGCTTGATCTCTTCAAGGGTGGCTTTTAATTTATTATTTCAAATACTTAATAATGAACTAGATTTATTAAGCACTATGGTCTTGATTAGGACAGAAACATTGTGGTCAGTTTCTTTGCTGGATGAGAAGTGGGACCTGGGTACTTGAAGAACAAGGAAGTGGGCTGATTGTTTGAGCCTCCTGGTGGGTGTAAATTACCCACCTTGCTGGGGCATGACAATGAACCATTGAAATGGATCCAGCTGGAAGATCCGGCCCTTTCATGTCTCTGGAGGCGGGTGGGGACAAGGAAGAAGAACAACAATAGAACTGAGAAAAAGAGTCTCCAGATGGAGGAGGGGAAGAAAGTTCTCACTTTAAAAAAGTGTAACAGTGTCTGTACTTTTTAGAACTGGAGACAAAAAATCAACAGATGAAACTTTGTCCAAGGTCCAAAGTGGGACAGATATCTTTACTGCAACATTGATCAACCTGTGGGACTCCAGATCAGATGTTCTTGGTCTACATTTCCCATCGGTCAAAGTAGGGATGATGATGAGGGATGATGAGGGATGATGAGGGATGATGATGAGGGATGATGGGGGTTGCAGTCCAGCATCTACAAATAAATTCTTTATTGCTGATAAGTGAGGCTCTGAGGCTTTTTCACACAACACATTTATAGTGCTATGGTTCCACTTCAACTGTCATGGTTCCATCCTATGGAATCCTCAAGTTTGTAGTTTAGTGAAGTACTAGAGTACCCTGGCTGAAAATTATACAGGCCACTTTCTATTCTACAAATCCCCGGATTTCATGGAATGTAACCATTGCAGTTAGATTAGAATCATAGTGCTATACCTCTGTTGTGTGAATGCCCCCCTCATAGTTTTGTTGTTGTGTGCATTCAAGAAGTTTCTGACTTATGGTGACCTAAGGCAACACTATAATGGGGTTTTCTTGGCAGGTTTCTTCAGAAGAGGTTTGCCATTGCCCTCCTCTAATAGTGTGTCCAGAGTCCAATGCTCAAACCACTGTGCCATATTGGCTCTCAACCAAACATAACTAATATAACAAAAAAAAATTGCCTCAAAGAGGTTACAGTTGAAATGTATATCATACAGTATTAAAGTAGACACCATAATACAAGAGGATTACATACCCATGACTTAAAACAGTTGTGGAATCTAAGGATGGATAAATCTGGATCCAAAGCATTGCAAGCAAATGTACTGAGGGGCAAGTATATTGTCCTCTAACAATCTTTGTTCTGAAGTCAGTTGTTCAGAAGTCAGTGGGACTTACGGTACTCCTAGTTCAGTGTAGCTGAAGGCTTCAGCCCTATGTGCTTAGGCTGCATCTGCACAGGAGAATCATAGAAACATAGAGTTGGAAGAGCCATCCAGTCCAACCTCCTGCTAGGAATGCAAATAAAATAATAAAGACATAATGTAGTTTGACATTATTTAAATTGCCATGGCTCAATGCTATTCAGTGTTGGGATTTGTAGTTTATTATGGCACTAGAGAGAGCCAGTGTGGCATAGCGATTTGAGCATTGGACTAGATCTCTGGAGACCAGAGTTCGAATCCTAGCTCAGCTATGTAAAACCACTGGGTGACCTTGGGCAAGTCCACTCTCTCAGCCTCAAAGGATGGCAATGGCTTCTGAATAAACTTGCTAAGAAAACCCCATGATAGGTCCACCTTGCTGGAAATGACTTCAAAGCACACAACAACAAACAAACAACAATGGCACCAGAGCTCTCTGATAGAGAAGGCTAAATATCTCACAAAACTACAGATCCCAGGATTCCATAGCATTGATCCATAGCAGTTAAAGCAGTGTCAAACTGCATTTATTCTGCAGTGCAGATGCAGTCTTAAGGTATAAACACAGGTAATTTCAGTGGTGTTTTCATTTCAGTCAACAAGATTAAGTTGCACAGCTTGAGTAAGGATCACTACATATCAAATAACTTAATACAATTACTGTACTATCATCCCATTTTCCCCACACTCCAAGACTCAAGATAGTTTACAAAAGGTGTATATGTGTGTGTTGAGTGCCTTCAAAAGTAGTTTCTGACTATGGCGACCATAAGGTGACCCTATCATGGGGTTCTCTTGGCAAGATTTGTTTGGAGATTTGCCTTTGCCTTCCCCTGAGGCTGAGAGCATGTGACTTGCCCAAGGTCACCAAGTGGTAGATGCAAATAAATAAATAAATTAGATCAGACAAAAGTTAAATTTATAATTAAACAATCAAGATTGAAAGCAGTTAAAAGCATAACCATTAAAACCAACCAACAAACAATTGCATCATATGTAATAACCCTGCCAAAACAAAATGTCTTCAACTACCTACAAAAGGAGAGCAAGGAAGGTGCCAATCTAACTTCTCTCGAAAGAGAGTTAGAACATGGGAGCAGCCATCAAGGAGGCCCTCACCTATTCCTGCCAGATGTACCTGTGAGGGTGGTGGGACCATCCTCCCCATAAAATCTCAGGACACTCATGTAGGGAGATATGATCCTTCCATACAGTAACACATTCCTATTCTTCTGAACTTCTAAGCTGTATTTTAAAAAATCTCATTTTTTTTGGTGGGCCCCGTTCCTTTCCCAAAATAATAGTCATCCACCTGAGTTCTCTGCTAGAGGGAATGAAGGCAGCAGCTGCCTTTGAGGGCTCAGCACTTCCTCACCACAGTAATGCTGTGGCCAGACACTTCTGGTCTTGCTTAAAATATTAGGCATGTGTTACAGAAGCAGCAAGATAGGGAAGTGGATTGCAATAGCTACTCACCTTCTTAGTTCTCGGCACTCCTAGATGCACATTTAGGTCCCAGGCCACTACTTACTTCAAAATGCTTTCCTAAATCAGTGGTCCCCAACCTTTTTATTGCCGTGGACCGGTCAACGTTTGATAATTTTTCCGCGGCCCACTGGGGGGGGGGCTGCGGCGTCGCGTTGATTATTAAATCGACAGAAGACGCAGTAACAGGGCGGCCCGGTACCATTTGTTCTGCGGACCGGTACTGGGCCGCGGACCAGGGGTTGGGGACCACTGTCCTAAATGACTGTGGTTTTATTCAAAGTCTGAATGCAACGGGCAAACCTTTCCTAGACATCTGTTTCTCTGAGCTGAATGCCTTGCAACAGTTAGTGTTTTCTGAGCAGCTTCTGCAACTTGTTTTTATGACCTCTGGTTTTTAGTGCGCAAATATCATTTCCAAGGCCTGGATGCATGGGTAAACAAAGAAAATACTGTGGGCTGAGATGAATTGGCTTTTGCTCCCTTGGTTTCAAAGAAACCAATTCAAAAATGACCCATGGTGTATAGATTCTGTTTTTGGACAGTTCAGTTCTTCTTTTGTGAAGTTTCACGTGTATTACATCAGCAGGTTCTCAATGGTTGGACAAAGACTAGAGAGGAACTGGGAAAAGGAAGATGAAAGCCATGACACTTGCTCCCAGATGTTTCCAGTGGTGAGGAGTATAAGGAGGTTGTGTGTTTTTTATGTTGGCTATATTGACAAGTCAGCAGTAAAAGTAATTTTGGAGAAGAGTATGGTCTTCAAAAGGGGTAGCTAGAATGATGAGTGAGAGCCAACATGGCATAGTAGTTTGACTGTCTGACTACAACCATGGAGACCAAGGTTCAATTCCCTGCTCGGCCATGGATACCCATTGGGTGACCCTGGCTGAGTCACACACTCTCAGCCCCAGAAAATCCTGTGATAGGTTCACCATAGGGTCAACATAAATCAGCTATGACTTGAAGGCACACAACAACAAAGAATGATGAGTGGGTAGAACATACTGTATTGTTTTTAGAGGGAGAATCCAGGACCAGTTTCAGGAGTTGACATAGTCAAGCTGGCTGGAAGTTACATACCCTGGCCAGATTCTGCATGGCTGATGCCTTGCCTGAGCCCCATTGCCACTTGGGCCCACTGCATACCCTCCAGCATTTCGCAGATGAAAAATGGAACATATGTGGCTAAGCAACATCATAATGTAGTCAAGACAGCAAAAGTTATTAATGAAAACTAAATGACAGCCTAGGAGATGTTGCAGCACTTTGGTTTTGTCTGAGCCTGCTAGAAAGGGCAAGAGTCAGCCCTCTCCTTTTGTCTTCTTCTTGGAGAGTTAACTGAGTGCAAAATTACTTTTGCACTTTAACAGGTGGAAGTAAGCTGAGGACAAAGGGAGAAGAGCAGCGAGAAACCAGAACATACTTTTGGGTACTATAATGTGAGGAAAATCTGGAGGAGAGCTAGGCAGAAAAGATAGCATTAACCTAAAAGGACAATTTCATATGCTAATTCCCACCGTCAGCTGGTAGTCCAAATGGGGTATGTTTGTGCCACATCTCAGTCAAACCACAAGATGCTGGTACTCATGTCTTAATATGTTCTTTCAAAACATATCCAGGAGTAGCTGTGTTGGCCATGTAACTGTGTTGGTCATGTACAATAACATCCAATATCCACCAAACAGTGATACCTTTATTGGCCAACCAAAATGCACAAAATATATGTTTTGATGAGCTTTCGAAGTGCCACTGGCTTCTTCATCACCTGGCATTCATTGGTGATGTCACATCCAAGTACTATCCAGGGCTGGCCCTGTTTAGCTTCCAAGATCAAACTGGATCCATTGCTTGGAGGGTATTTAGGGTTTCACTTTGTTGTGTTGTTGTGTGCCTTGAAGTGGTTTCTGAGTTATGGTGACCCTATGGTAAGCCTATCATGGGGTTTTCTTGGCAACATTTGTTCAGAGGGGTTTTTCCATTGCCTTCCTCTGAGGCTGAGAGCATGTGACCTTCCCAAGGTCACTCAGAGGGTTTCATGGCTGAGCGGGGGATTGAACCCTGCTCTCCAGAGTCCTAGTCCAACACTCATACCACTAGGCCAGGCCAGCTTTCGGGGATTTCTCTACTCCTTTTGTATTTGAATAATTGAAACACACTGGATTGATAACAAGAATCCATGGTGAATTGTTAGGCCAAGGCCAGCCCAACTCATTTTGCTGCCTGAGGCAAAGCCACAAATGGCACTGTGTGTGTGTATGTGTGTTCCTTCAAGTCACCTTACAGTGACCCCTTGAATTTCATAGGATTTTCTTTGGCAAGGAATACTTAGAGGTGGTTTTACAAGTTTCTTCCTCTGAAATTAGCCTACAGCATGTGGTATTCATACTAACTAGGTCTGACCCTGCTTAGCAGTAAAAATACAATGGGAAAAAAGAAGTTGCTAGTTTTTCATTACATCAAAACCTCTTTCCTGAGGCAAGCACATCACTCTGCATAATGGTAGTTTTTACTGTCTTTTAGGACAAGCAATGCCTCAGGCTCACATACTCTTACCAGCACCTCTGCTCCTGATTTAGAGGAAAATACACTTTTTTAATTCAGTCTAATCACAGTCAACTGGCTTACTCATGCTGCTTTTTGTTAAGAAGACAAGCTATAAAACCAACATTCAGTATTAAATCCTGAGTACTGACTGGAGGATTAGGAAGTATCAACCAAAAAGAAGGCTGACAAATCACAATGCTGGCAAATATTAGAGTGCCAGTATTTGAGATAGCTCACTCACATTTTCAGTTAGGATTGGCTCTGTCCAATGTGTGAAAAGGCCCTGAAGCAAACTGGAAAAAAGATGATGAAAATCAAACCTTGAAAAAGTTCCTTTCCCAGACTACCACTCACAGAACCTGCCCAACCAGATGCAGCTCCGAAAACTCCCCAGTGAACATGCAGGGTAAAACCTGATCAATAGTCATAAAATATAACAATGTAAAATAAATGTGTGGGAGAAATCAGAAACAGCAGCAAAAGTTGAAAGAGAATTAACATTTTATTTTATTATACCCATAACATTCATGTAGCAACTGACATTAACCATGTTAGTTAACAAGAACAAGACCATAAGGAACAAAAAATGCACCACAAATTAGGCAGTACATAAAGAAAACCCTATAAAATTAATGGGGTTACCATAAGTCAGCAGGCAACTTGAGGGCACCCCCCATAGTACCGTAAATCTTATCCATAATCCAAAAACTTTAAAATTTCTCTCCAAAATTTACAAATCCTGAGATTCCATGTCATCCGACCTAAAGAAATGTGTGATCTATTACATATATTTTTTAAAAAATAAAAGGATAGTATACTATGAATCTGAAGACCAAGGTTCAAATCCCAGCTTGGCCATGTAAATCCATTGGGTGACCCTGGGCAAATCACACTCTCTCAGCCTTAGAGCAAGGCAATGGCAAACTCCCTCTGAAGAAACTTGCCAAGAAAACTCTGTGATAAGTTTGCCTTAGGGTCAACATAAATCGGAAATGAGTTGAAGGTACGCAACAACAACAACAGATATTTGCAAAAAAAGTATTTCTTTTTCCCTTTGATTAGCTTCATCTTATTTGATTTTTTTTAATAAAAGAACAGTAGAACATTAAAAAAAGCATATATATAAAGAATGAACATAGACCACATATATAGTTATAAGTACAAGTCCTAGAAACCTGCTCAGGTGGTTGTATCAATTTTAATGGGTTTTACAGAAGAAAACTACCTGATGCTTTGTTTGCCTAATAACATTGCATCAAAGGAATGGTGAGTGAAATGACAGAAAGACCATTATGTCCTTTGGAATGCTGTTTAAACAAAGAAAAATTGTTGTTCGCTGAGCAACTGCTAGCTAGTCAGTGTGCAAAGGAATCTTGTAGCACCTTTGAGACTAACTGAAAGATAGCAGTTGGTAGCAGGAGCTTTTGTAGACTTGAGCCTACTTTCTCAGATGCAAAATGCATCTTCCTCAGTCTTCTCTTCACCAGGCTGAACATGCCCAGCTTCCTCAACCTTTCCTCATATGTTTTGTTCTTCATACCTCTTACCATCCTTGTTGCTCTTTTCTGAACCTTCTCCAACTTGTCTATATCCTTCCTAAAATGAGGAGGCCAGAACTGAATGCAGTATTTCAGATGAGGTCTGACTACCCCAGAATATAGTGGACTATTATTTTCCTTCTCTTGGAAACTGTGGCTCTGTTAACATAGGCTAATATATTACTTGGCTTCTTTGCTGCGGCATCACACTGCTGGGTCATTTCCAACGTATGATCAACAATAATCTCAAGATCTTTTTTCATATACATTGCTTCTGAGACACATATTCCCCATCCTATATGTGTGCAAATAGGTCCTAGAACAGATCAAGCCGGTAACCTCCCTGCAAGCCAAGATGACCAACTGAGACTGTTGTACTTCGGACACATCATGAGAAGGGAGGACTCTGGAAAAAAACAAAACAATAATGCTGGGGAAGATGGAGGGAAGTAGGAAGAGAGGAAGCCCACATGTCAGATGGATGGACTCTATTAAAGAGGTCATGGATATGGGTTTGCAGGATTTAAGCAGAACAGTGGAGGACAGTGGGTCTTGGAGATGTCTCATCCATAGGGTCGCCATGAATCGAGATTGACTCAAAGGTAGTTAACAACAAACAACAGTATGCATTTGGTTTTTAAGGTCGAAACATAGAATTTTTCATTTGTCTCTGTTGAATTCCATTCTATTAATTTCAGCCCAATTTCTGTTTTTCAAGGTCTTTTTGAACGTGTTCACATCTTCCAATATGTTAGCTACCCCTCCCAGTTTTGTATCATCTGTAAACTTGATAAGGATTCTCTCTCTAACCCATCATTTAAGACACTAATAAAAACATTGAAGAGTGTCAGCCCCAGGACAGAATTCTACAGTATTCCACTCAAGACTACCTACCCTCCAGTTTGAAGCACAGCCATTGATGAAGATTCTTTTAACACATATTCCCAAGCAGTTATAGTTCCATTTAATAGTGTTCTCATCTATTCCACATATAATCAGTTTGCTATTCAGTTTGCCAATTTAGTTTAAAGATTTATATCACCCATCAGTTTTAGATATTCAGGACAGTTCACAACATGTACTTAAAATATACACTCATCCTTCCACATTTGCAACTTTGACTTTTTTGGATTGGATTATTCACACATTTTATTAATATGTTCTCTCTAAGAATATGTAGGTCCTCCAGTGCAACTCTATGGTCAGCCTTAACCAAAAGTCGCACTGAAGGATCTAGAGATTCCTAGAGAGAACACTCCACTAGGCATTTGTAGCTCCTCCAGCGCAACTCTATGGTCAATGTCTGGCAGATGTTGACCACAGAGTTGCACTGGAGGACCTAGAGATTCCTAGAGAGGTGTTCCCTCAGATAAAAAACAGTGTTATTTTTGTTTTCTGCTGTGTTTCCCCATTCATGGGGGTCCTGTGCCCCAAACCCCAGTGAATGTGGAGGGATGAGTGTACTACCACCTCACCATTTCAACAGATGAAATAAAGCAATAATGAACAGCAGAATTAGACTTAGTTAAAGGAGTTTATGCTCATTATCATCTGCTAATTGCTATGGGTAGTCAGTGTGGATTATTATTGTTAATTGCTGTCAAGTTCCGCTTCAACTTATGGCAGCCCACGAAGCTGGGCTGGTCACAGTATCCCAGCTTTACTTTCTATATGGTTGAATGGCCTTATAGAAAAATCACATCCCTCAACTGTCTCGATTTGTCAGGGACAATCCAGATGAATCCTCTGTCATCCCACTTTTTCAGCTGCTTTAAAAAGTCTCAGTTTATTTCTCCTCCTGCTGCTTTCCCCCTTTGCCCTCAGCTTACTTCAATTGCTGTGAAGTTCAAAAGTAGTTTATACTCAATTCAGCAAGGGGTAGAAGAGAAGGCAAAATCCTGCCCTTCCCAGCAGATTCTGGCAAATGCTAACTGCTGCAGCCTCCCCCTAGCTTGTCTGTCTTTCCTAATTGATAATGTCTTTCATTTTGATAACACTTTGATGCTATTTGGGCACAGATGTGGAAGAAGAGGGGATTCCAGCAACTATTGCATGTCATTCCCTCTGCCTCACACAGGTTAAAGCCACAGGAGTCTTTGTTTTTTCTTTTCCTGTGACTACCCTACTCACAAGATCCGAAAACAAACTGGCTAGAGACTAGCAGGGGTTGCAGACTGCCAGAAATAGTGCAAATTGAGTCCACTTTTAGGGTTAGGGTTAGTGCTAGGGAATCATGGGAATTTTTTTCTCTCTCTGAGACATTGAGCCTTCTCTGTCAGAGAGCTCTGGTGCCACAATACAGTTCCCATGATTCCCTAACCCTAACCCTAACCCTAACCCTAAAAGTGGACTCAATTTGCACTATTTCTGGCAGTCTGCAACCCACCTAGGACTGCTGGGGAGAAGAGGCTGGCAATAAATAAACAGAGGACAAATCAAATGTAATTAGTTCAGCACTAAGATGATTAATTGTGTGAGCTGGAGCATAAGCTGATCTGCTTCACTTCAAGAGGAAGCTGTCCTTCATTAAATAAAGCTGCATTGAATTTGATCTGTATTTATGGTTACGAGGCTTAAATGGATGCCAGCCAAGGAGATGTTTATATCAGCTTGGTTCTTAATGGTAAAGACAGATATGTACAGTGGTACAGTGGTCCATTTAGAAGTGCAGGTGTGTTCTTTATGACAATCCCATGCCTCTAGAGCAGGGGTAGGCAACCTTTTTGAGCCAGGGGCCGGGTTGCTGTCCCTCAGACAATTGGGGGGCTGAAGCAACAAAAATAAATAAATAAATAAATAAATAAATAAATATAAAATAAAATAAAAAATATGCATGCACACTCTCTCAGCCCCAGAAAAGCCATGGCAAAACCCCTGTGGAGATTTTGCCAAGAAAACCTCAAGAACAAGTAATAACAACAATGATCAATATCATCATGGCAGGTGGCGGGCGGCGGCGGTGGCGGGCGGCGGCAGGTGGCAGGTGGCGGGCGGCGCATCTGGCCCCTGGGCCTTAGGTTGCCTAC